CAATAGATTCTTCAACCACACTAGTTCACATGCAATGTGTGTGCCATGGCCCTGTATTCTGCTTATGCACTGCTCCTTGCTACCACAATCTGCTTCTTGCTCTTCCAAGTCACAAGATTTCCTCCAAGAAAGGTGCAATAACCTATAGTGGATCTTCTGTCTGATACAAATCCAGCCCAGTCTGCGTCGGTGTATCCAACTATTTCAAGATCACCTCCTGGCTTGTACAGTAACCCACGACCTAGAGCCCCCTTCAAATACCACACAATCCTAAGAGCTGCATCCCAGCGAGGTACCCGAGGACTCTACATAAACTGGCTAACATGCTGACAACAAATGAGATATCAGGCTTAGTGATAGTTAGATAATTCAGTTTTCCCACTAGCCTTCTATACTTTCTAGGGTTATCAAACAATTCACCTGTGTCACTTCCCAACTTCACATTCAGTTCCATGGGAGTTTCAGCCAGTTTAGCACCTAGCAACCCTATTTCTTCCAATAGGTCAAGTACATATTTCCACTGATAGAGGTTTATGCCTTGCTTTGATCTAGCAACTTCTATACCCAGGAAATACTTCAACTTCCCAAGATCTTTTGTCTGAAAGTGATCTTGTAGGAAAGTCTTCAATCTATCAATCCCAACTCTATCACTGCCAGTTATGACTATGTCATCCACATAAGCTACCAGCAAGATCTTCACGGCCATAGTCATAGCTAAATACTGAATGATCAACTTGACATTGTCTCATTCCAAACTCCTTCACCACCTCACTAAATTTGCTAAACCAAGCACAGGGAGACTGTTTGAGTCCATAAATCCCTTTCTTGAGCTTACGTACCTTACCATCCTCCCCCTGAGCAACAAACCCTAGTGGTTGCTCCATGTACACCTCCTCTAGAAGATCCTCATGGAGAAATGCATTTTTAATAACAAGCTGAAATAGAGGCCAATCATGCATGACAGCTAAGGAAATCAACACAAGTACGGAGCCAATCTTTGCCACTGGAGAAAAGGTTTCAACATAGTCTATACCATTAAATTGAGAGTACCCTTTTGCAACTAAACAGGCTTTCAGGCGTTCCACTCTCCCATCTAGTAGATACTTAACAACATACACCCATTTACAAACAACAACATGCTTACCTAGGGGAAGAGTGGTGAGTTCCCATGTCTAATTGTGATGAAGAGTAGAGAGTTCCTCTTCCATAGCTTTTCGCCACCCTGGCAATGTAAGAGCCTCCTGAACATCCTTAGGTATGGATACAGAGGAGAACAGGGTAATAAACTGGTGAGGGAAGCAGAAAGATGAGATACAGAAACATAATTGGATATGGGATGTAGTGTACAACTACGTTTACCTTTCCGAAAAGCAATAAGAAGGTCAAGATTAGAAGCCAATTCAGTTGTGGAAGGGGTTGGATCTGACGCCGAAGTAGAAGGTGGTGGAGGTGCTGGTCTCTGTCGATGAGTATACACTTGACAAATTGGTGATCTTTCAGTACGCTCCTACAATGGGAATGGGGGAGACTCAGGCACAAGGGGAACCACCGGAATGGAATTATCAACGGGAAGAGGAAGAGAAACCTCCGTAGGCAAATGATGGATATCAGAACCAGAGAAGTAAGGCACCAATTCAAAAAATGTAACATCAGGACAAACAAATGATTTCTGAGTAATACGATTGTAGCATTTATACCCTTTCTGGGTCTTAGAGTAGCCAAGGAAGATACATTTAATGGAGCGAGCATCCAACTTGTCTAAACCAGGACCAAGATTCTAAACAAAACACGCACACCCAAAGATCTTAGGGGTCAGGGGGTATGGAGACAAAGTAGGAAACAAGGTAGAGAACGGAGAACGACCATCAAGAATGAACGTAGGCATGTGATTAATGAGAAAACAAGCAATAAGGACCGCATCACTCCAGAATCATTTAGGAACATTCATATGATGAAGAAGAGACCAAGCTGTTTCAAATAGATGTCGGCTTTTTCTCTCAGCCACCCCATTTTGCTAAGGAGTGTGGGCACAAGATATCTGATGAATTATACCATGTTGTTCCAAGTATTGCTGAAAGGAAGAAAGAAAATACTCTCTACCATTGTCAGAACGAAGAATTTTAAGTGAAACACCAACTTAGGTGCGCACTTCAGCATGAAATTTTTGGAAAATGGAAAATAATTCACTTCTTTCTTTCATTAAATAAAGCCATGTCATTCTTGAACAGTTATCAACAAAGGTAACAAAATATCTATAACCATTGTACGACTCAATTCTAATTGAACCCCAAACATCTGAATGAACTAAATCAAAAGGACTCAGCATACGACTATCAACTCTAGGACTGAAGGAAACCCGATGGTGTTTCCCATACTAACACGACTCACACTACAAAGACGACAAATGACTCAATGATGGAACAAGAAGCTTGAGAGCTTTGAGAGATATATGGCCGAGTCTACAATGCCATTGAAGAGGAGTCAAGGAGGTTTGAAGCGCAACTGTAGAGCCTCCACTGTCAAGATAATACAATCCGCTAGCTTCATGCCCTCCACCAATCTTCTTCCCCGTCGTTAGATCCTGAAAAACAAAAGAGGAAGGGTAAAATATGATAGAACAATTGAGGGATTTGGTTAGTTTACTAATAGATAAGATTAAAAAGAAACTTGGGAACATATAAGATAGAAGACAAAGATAGAGATGCAGTGGTAACATTTACCAACACCATAGATGGGGGAAGTAGATCCATTGGCAAGGGTAACATTATTTGATGTAAAGGTCGGAGAAAGGGAGGAAAACATACCTGGAGTGTTGGTCATGTGATCAAAGGCTCCAGAGTCAATTATCTAGGGTGAAGGTTTGAATGCTAGGCAAGCTATACCTGAATGAGCAAGGGTGGTGGTGTTCTGAAGAAATCTCTCATACTCCTCTTTGGGAATACTCATCATCTCCTTCCCAAAAGAGGTTGTGGCTGTAAAAGATGTTGGATCAACTGGTTGAGTATCCTTGACTTCACTACCACCAACAGTTGCATGATTAGCCCATGTGGATGGTGGGCCATGTAAATCATAACAAAAGTTAACTCTGTGTCCTCTCCCATAGTGTGTGCACTTCCTTGTTGTGCTCCCCTTTCCTCTGCTACGGCCTCCTCCACTGGTATGACCACCCATAGGATTACCATGGCCTCCCTTAACTGTACGGCCACCTCCTCTGTGCCCATAAGAACCACCTCGAGTACTAACTACTGCTGATCTGTCAGAAGTTATGTTACTCTCTGCGGGGCTAAGAGGTATCCTACGGAGACGGGCAAACACTTCTTCTGGAGTAGGGAGAGCAGACCCCCCCAATATCTGTGCCCTGACAGGTTCATACTCTGCTTTCAGTCCCACCAAGAACCATGTAACATCTAGTTGTTCCCTTTGTTGTTGCTGAATTTTAACGTCCGGTGTTAAGGGATGCTAGACGTTAAGTTCATTCCAAAGATTTTTCATACTGGCATAATATTCTTCAAGAATTTGATTTCCTTATTGCAAACTAAGGTATTCTTGATAAAGCTGATAAACCCTTGTAGTGTTGTCTTGTCCATAATAAAGTTTCTTGGCATGTTCCCATATATCCCTTATTGTATCTAAAAACATGAAGTTAACACTGATTTTAGGCTCCATACTGTTCCACAACCACGTCATGATCTGAGCATCCTCTTGCTCCCAATCACTAAAACCCAGGGAATCAGCACTCGGTTTCTCCTCCTATACATGTTTCACTTTCTTCTTAACCTTCAGAAACACTTCCACCAACTTGGCCCATGGAACATAGTTTTCACCGTTGAGTTTGATGGATGTCATTTGGACACTTAAAAAAATCAGAGGAGATCATCACACTCGATTTCTGGTCACCACTCGAATCACCCACCGACGCCATCTCAATCTACGAAACTGGTTCTGCCCATCACACACACAAAAGAGAAGTTTCAGCCACTACACTACTGTTCTTCAAATTCCACACCAACACACCTATAGTCACCACGAGCTTGCCCTAGCATGCATTCAGCCACTTTGAACACCACTGATCTGCTAACAGGCAGATTTGAAAACATAGAGAATCCCTCTTGAAACTGCTCATTAGAGGGTTCAGACCACAACTACTGTACCTACTCGACCACCACAGCTGTCACGTAAAGTGACAGCAGTCCACACACACAAAAAAAAAAAATTCTTGTTCGCTCGAACTGCTGCAGTCATCTACTGTCACCAGAAGTTAACCCACCGAAACCCTAGATGTTGCTACAGAAACCAGGGTTTCTTCGCAGTCCTCTAACCCAGATTTCTTACACCAGAAAAAATGGAAAAGAAAGGAGAGAAGAAAGCTGCAGTCGACTTCTATTATTGGCGCTCTGATACCATGTTAGTGTTCAGCCGGACTGAGAAGAGAGAGAAAGAAGAGAGAGAGGAGAAGAAGAAAGGATAAAAGTGTCAAACTGAGAAGACCAAGAGTCTAATCCAGTCGACCATATATTTAGACTTAGTAAATAAGTGTACAAGGACATAAATGCCCTTATCTAGACAGGAGGCATATAACTCATACATTACTGAAATGGAAAAGACTCAAATGCCCCTGTTTAGTCAACTCTAACAAAAGCAAACACCATAGGTGGGATGTGGAAGAAATATTAGGTAGGAATGATGATCTGCCAACCTATTTGTATCTTAAGTGGGGAAACTGGGATTAACAATTGGAAAAAAAAGGTTGAGGATGAAGAATAAGCAAACAACTGTCTGGACAAAAATAGTATGTCAAGATTTTAGTTGAGAGAAAACATGGTGGCATGGTAAAGTAAACTTGGGACACTTTTTTCATCTCAATATTCCTGTAGATGTTTTCATGGGCATTTAGTGTGGTGGACAGGTGTAAAGAATCAAGAAAACAAACATAGGGAACATTTACAGAAAATGTAAAACACATAGGATATTTGTAATAAACTGGAAAATCTATAGTTTACCCTTTGTGGATTTATCCCAGCAGCAGCAACATATAAATCCAGCTTCCCAATTGCAATTCCAATGCCCTGAACACCAAGATCTCCAAGACCCAATATTCTGCTTCCATCTGTTACCACTATCATATCAACCTACAATATAAAAAAAAAAAAGTAATTCATAAATTGCTAAAGTTGCATTTTTTTCTCATCAAAAAGCACAATGTTTTCTGAGTGATCCAAAATATCAACAATTGAAAAACAAATACTAACTAGCAAGTTATATTGGGTGTAGGGGTGGTACATGGAACAGTTGTTCAACACAGACAGAAAATAAATAATAGAAGGATAGTGTTCAACTGAAGGAGGGAGAAGAAGAGAAGAGGAGGAGGAGGGGGAAAATAGGTACCAAACAAGTCCCTATTGGGATTTTGTCCCCTTTGAAATTATCATAATATTAACATAGACACAAAGACAACAATACCTTTGAAAATAAAACAAAAAGACTAAAATGCTCTAGATATAAGAGACCAACTTTCTCAAAACATTCTGAGGGACTTTTCTGCCCATTCCTTGTACAACACGATTCATACGATTTTAATAAAATGTTTTGGTTGCCATAAGAAATGAGAAAGTATCAGTTTTTATCAAATATCACATTATCTAAAACAAAAGGCAAGAGCTCTGTCCTAGAAGAATTCAGGAAAAAATTATGATCTTGGCTTGTATTACCTGCATCTCTTTGAAAGTTAATCCCCTTGAACTTTAGTTCTGTAAGAATCGACAATACAAGGGTAGTTAAGTCTTTTATCAATCTAATTAAGGTTAAGTTGTCTATTTTGTCGGGGTTTAAGTTGTGTGTCCCATACTTAATGAGGGACAACTCTGTCTTTTGTAATCTAATACAAAGAGTATAAATACAAAGTGGGACGGCCGAGAGAGGTGACTTTTCTTCTTCTCATACCGAACCCTTTCTCCTTCTTTTCTCTCTCTCTCTCTCTCTCTCTTTTCTTCTTCTTCTCTTCTTATTGACTTCAGACCTAGAACTGAACTAGGGCTACTCGAATTATTCACATGGTATAAGAGCCCTAGGAAATCAGTTCAGAACTCAGTTTTCTTTTCTCTCTCTTCGTCCTCCTGAGAACACCATATCAGAACCTCTCTTTGAAGTAACTTCTAAACGAATTGGAGGATCGATAAGGGACCAAAAAGGAGTGGTCGTATTTCCTTCTTGGAGGTAAATATGCCTACAGTTGACATGGTGGTGGCTGTTGTAGTGGTTTGCTAGAAACCCTCTACCCGATGACACAAAGGGGGCTGGTTGTGGACAAGTGTGAACAGAAATCTCTAATCGACTAATCGTGGAGTGTGTTCTCTTTCTTTTGGGCTGGATTTCATCCATGTGGCAGTGTTGATTGGTAGGTATGCATATGAACCTCTTTTTTCTCTGTTTATAACTGGATATGTGTGGTGATAGTAGGGTTTTCGGGTGCTGAACCCATGACAGCAGCAGTGTGGTCATAGCAGTACTTTATTGTGTGGTGTGTGGTGTAATGCTGAATAGTAAAGGGCGACTTTTTCTATCATAGTTGAATTCCTTTGTGGTGTGGGGTGATTTTGTTATGATGGTAACTGTTTGCTGAAATAGAGCTGTCAAATGAGAGAAGAAGAAGATATGAGATGGGCGGCAGAATTAGTTCTCAGCCAGCCCTAATCTATTATATATAACAACATTACATAATGTTACATAAATAGACCAGAATGCCCCTGATTAGTGGAGGGACACCTAGTCAAATAAACACTAAATAAGATTAGGCCCAATAACTAATAACTAAGGACTTAAGACCCAACAAGG